ACAAATCCACACTCCCACATCGGAAGCATATATCACGTGGATTGGTTTTGTTTGGACTATAAAATAAAGAGGCTCTCACTTCTTACAACCCATCTTTGCGCTTGGGGCAATGACGCAGCTAATGAGGTACTAACCGAGGCGCGTCTATTGCTGGTTGAAAACTATTTCCAAACCCCCTCTTAGGTCTAAGCTTTGTCTTCGACCTTCGAGAATTTCTGGAAGGGCTCCCTTCGGGGTAAAGCCCTACAATCTCTCTAGTTCAAGTTTTGTTTCTAAACCTATGATCTTAAAGGCATTTTGTTTGTCTTTTCTATCTTGGTTCAAATAATGCATCTTTGTTTAAGTTCAAAAGGATGTTAATGTACGAACACCAATCCATACGAAGCTATACTGAATCTTTATGTACAAGCTATCTTCACTCGTTTATTACAAAGTTCCCTAACATTATTCTGCTCTGTCTGAACTCTCCCCTAAATCAGTTGTTGCTATACATAAACGACAACTCTGCACAACAACGCCTTCACCTCGGTACATGTCACCTTCGAATCATTGGACAGAGATGTGAGTAACACCATAATGGCGACAAGACATAAGAAATTTTTTATTTCTCTTATGTCACTGTGGATTCGGTAGCTTCACCGTAAATCAACAACAACTATGTTTTTTTCTTTTTCTTTTTTTTAAACTTTTTTTGCCAAGGAAACACACAAAAACAGGCTTTTTGTAAACTTAAACTTTTCATATATATGTTATTTTAGCAAAAAATAGACAACAACTCTGTAACATTTTTACAGGTGGGTGAATGATGTAACAATAGTAGAGAGCCTACCGGAATGTTTCAAGTTTTCTCTGTTTATACTCAGGTAAAAGAGATTGCTTTTCAATATTCTGTAAAATTCAGTGAAGACAAGAATCATCAGACTAAATCTGCAAGTTGTATTTTTTTATATAAAAGATCAGTTCACAGTAGGCAAGAGCTGTAGGTTGTTGTTTGTTAACAAAGGGATCAACTATGTGACATTCTGTTGATCGAAAATAAATATTGGACTCGCAACAATACGAAAGTAAAGGATGAGCTTAAATTACATGCGATAACCAAGTTGCGAGTGTTCCAAAAATGCTTCAAACACGTAACTGGGCCTATAGTACCAGTCCATGTATATTGTAGTGTAGGAAAACTTTGTGTCAGAGCGAGAAACTTGCTCCCAAATAGTCCCACATCGCTTACAATAGAAAGAATGAGTCGCAGAGGAGATTATAAGAAAGGAAGTGTAGTGAAGGAGCAAACCACTTACCTGGACAGGGTCAACTCATGATCAAGAAGATGAGTGGCCTAGGCTAGTGACCTCCATTGCACATTAAGGAGGGGTGCTTAGCCTAAGGTCTCCCCAAGTGGGAGAGCCTGTGTCATTATTTGTGGCAGAGGGAGCCTGCGTTCGCGCGGCTCCTACCATTTACTTCAGTTCCTAGACTTGTTTGCCGGACACAATAACTTAGCATCATAAACATATATCATGTAGGTTAGTTATGTTTTGTAAGAACTACATCTCAGACTGTCTTAAAGAAAAAGAACGATTCAGCTAGTTAAAAGCGGACAGACAGGCTTTTCGGCCCATTAAGAAAATGGTTACATTTCTGAAATAAATCTAAATATAATGTGGGCCTGAATTACAAAACAACCATAAAAGCCTAAAACCCTACAAGAATTATCTTCTTCTCTCTTCAAGATCAGAAGACGCCGCACTTCCATCTTCTAGCATTTTCCTCGGCCGAGCTACAGGTACTCTTTGTCGCTTTGAAATTATTAGAAGTAATCCAACAGATTTGAAAATAACGTGGAAAAGAAGCAACGACTTTTGGTTTACCTTTTTTTTTCCTACTTGGTTTCGTTTATATATGAATTGGCTAATATGGTTTTGGGATTGTAGAGTAAAGAGAGGTGAAAAATGAGTCGTGCAGCAGCTGCAAAGGGGAAGAAGAAGGGAGTTTCCTTCACCATTGATTGTTCAAAGCCTGTTGATGACAAGATCATGGAGATTGCTTCCTTAGAGAAGTTTCTTCAGGAGAGGATTAAGGTTGGTGGTGGTAAAGCTGGTGCACTTGGTGATTCTGTCTCCATCACTCGTGACAAGAACAAGATTACTGTCACCTCTGATGGCCAATTCTCCAAGAGGTTTTGATCAAACTTCAACCATATTATAGTTTAGAGTTGACTGTGGAATCTCTAAGTTATATTGAGTACATTGTTTGTTTCGTGTATGTGTGTAGATACCTAAAGTACTTGACAAAGAAGTATCTGAAGAAGCACAATGTGAGAGATTGGCTCAGAGTGATTGCAGCCAACAAGGACCGTAACCTCTATGAACTGAGGTACTTCAACATCGCCGAGAACGAAGCAGAGGAAGAAGACTAGAAACAAAGTTATATCTTCCTCTTAGTTGAGTTTTGATTCTACTACGATTATCTCTGCTCTAATTAGATACTATCTAGTTTTGTTGAAGTAATATACTTTCTTTTGTTTCTGCGTATTTGAGCTTCTATGCTTCTATGCAGTTTTGTATTTTTTGCCAGACAGTTTTTTGGTAACACCGAGTGGAGGAGTTTTGCATATCATTTGTTCGTATATCTGTTATTTGATGAATATCATTGATATTACAAGTAGATAGAATATACAACTGGAGTATAGAGATTGGTCAAGATTAATGATACTTAAAAAGCAGAGAGTATATACCATTGAAGTAGGTTATGTTCGTATGTGGAGAAATAAAGTCAGACGAATTCGTCTTCTTCAGTCTCAATTCTGGGTTTGGATCAGTAGTTACTTTTGATTGGGTGTTGTTTTATCACTACGTTTAAACGAAAGAAATCTCTACTTCTCAAAATAGATATACAGTTGAAGAGTTTCAATCATTCCAAGTAAAGCAAAGAGACAACAACTCTACTTGGACATCTAATTCCATTCTTTACTCTAAAATCGAATAAAATGAAATATGGAATAATAAAATATTTTAATCCTATTTCATTCCCACTTTATAATAGAATTTACTCTATAAATACTATAATTTATTTTTATTTATTTATTATTTTATTATAGAATGAAAAATAAAGTTGGATTGGAACATTTATATTGCATAATCCATTTACTATATTTTAGAGAAAAAAAATACAATTTTACATTGGAGATGTTCTAAAGAATATGATTAGTCGATTAGATTTATGTTCACTGTTTGATTTGTTGAGTTTTCTTACTTTGAATAGCTGGTTTCTATCAAAAGATAAAGATTAATGTGAGAGGTGATTGTTCAAATTTTGAAAATATGAATTTAATAACACTAAGTATTGATCCGCGCACTAGTAAATACTTTTTAACAAAATCTAATTTTGCAACATTCTTTCGATAACTAAAATCTAAACATATTAATTTGAGTGCATTTGAAAGCTATATAATTATTTTATTTGTATCTTTATTAAATATAAAATTTTATCTTACTTAATTTTTTAAAAATATTTCAATATGTTTTTATATAAATATTTTATAAAAAATCAGTAATCAGTTTGATTAATTTTGTGATATATATTTATTTGATAAATATTAAATATAAAACTTATTTTGTGTCAATTTATTGACTCTAACATTGTATCTGTTTAAAAATTATTTGATGCAACTTAAACCAAACATAATCTTGTATTAATAATTATATGCTCTTAACAATAAAAAAATCTAAGAAAAAAATTCTAATTCAAATTTTTTATTAAGTTTAACTAAATGAATTTTAGTTATAAATAAATAAATAATCTATTAATTTTTTTTATTAAATGAAATTATTTTACAGTGTTTGAACCCCAAAACAGTTATACTTATTTTCTGAATTTGTTTCATAGATGAAAACAATGCTTTAGCCACATCATTGAAAAGGAGATAGATAAAAAGTTATTATTAATATATGACCTTATGTTTTATATTGTTTAGATTAGATATATGATTAATTGTTATGTTGTTTAACACACATTTAATAGTAATATAAGAGTGGGAATATTTATTAATTTGGGTAGGTCTAACTTTATAGTAAAATGGTGTATTTAATTAAAAAAAACTTAAATCTTCTAAATTATGCGGATTCAGTTAATTTGAGTACATTACATGTATAAAAAGCTTTGATAGTAAAGTGAGTCATTTCTTTCTCAGTTACGTTAAGCGAAGCTAGTTTTTAACCGCTGACTTCCCATCCAAGCATCCCTTTACCCACCGTTTCTTTCCGTTTTCGACCTCAAAAAACCTGCAAATCTAGAGCTTTTTTTTCAAATTTTTACCACTTTAATTTTAACCACTGGTCTCTTGGTTGACCTCGCCGGAATTATGCAAGGACGGTGGCCTCCGACGCTCCCGACCTTCCTCCGTGGGGCGATATCCGGTTACAAATCCTTCTAGTGCTCCTGCTGTGATGTACCCAAGCTTCCTCCGGTTCACCAGACCCATAAAAAGCTCACCTTTCAACAACTTACCATGGGATTTTGCTGTAACTCAAACAAAGAATGGACTATGTTTTCACAGATGACCTATACTCTTTTACAGTGTTTTGGTCTCTGTTAAAAAACTGTGTTCCAGCTTGTTCCCTTGTGACTCTTCTTCCTCGCCTTTGTTAGATCCCAGCTCCTACAAAGGAATGCGGTTTCTTGTAATGGACCTCAAGCCTTTTCCACAGATCTCAAACCCTTTTGAACCTGTAAAAGTTAATTATTCCTTCTAAGTTATGCCAACAATCAACAACAACCAAACTCAAAGTTTAAACCAGTATCAAGAAGAAGATGAAGATCTGGTCATCTTACCAAATGTTGACAATTCTGAGCTTATTTCTCAGTTTAAGCTCCGCCTCGTTGGGAGACTCTTTAATCACGAACGAAGAAATGTTGAAGCTCTTATCTCCCTTCTCCCACGCCCTAACATTTGGGATGTGGAGGGAAGAGTGCGCGGCCTGGATTTGGGAAACCATCGCTTCCAGTTTGACTTTGATTCTGAAGCGGACCTGCTGAAGGTCCAAAACAAGAGACCTTGTCATTTAACAAATGGTCCTTCTCGCTGGAAAGATGGGCTCCTCATATTGGGGACACCTTCCCGAATACTATGACCTTTTGGATTTGTGCTATTGGCATTCCCACTCACTTCTGGCTCGAACCTATCTTTTGAACCTTAGGAGATAGACTAGGCTCTGTTGGCCTCATCGAAGCCAAGGCTGCTAAGTTTCAGGTTTAAATTAATGTTGATTTACCTCTGGAGTTTGCTTTGAGAGCACAAATTTCGTCTGGAGAAATCATTCCAGTGAAACTGGAGTATGTCAATCTCCACCGGTGGTGTCTACACTGTCGACATATCTCCCATAAAGCAGATACATGCCCGGAACTCTCTGAAGAACAAAGAAGAACTTTTAAAAAATCAAGAGAAGTTGATAGAGACCAAGACAAGACAGCTAAAAAGGATTTTACTAGGAAGGATGATCTATCAAGGAGACCTGCTCTTACGGAGGAGAAGGCTGGGTTTGTTCAGGACAGACAGACAATGGTTGATCCTCACAGGGACAACATGGAGAGTGTGTGGAAACGCATGGACCCCCGTCTTAAGCCCCGTGATCGACACCATCATGAGACTCGTCCTGATCACACTCCTAGGGACAGAGACTTTGTTGATCGTAATAAGAACTCATATGACAAGAATTCTCAAGACTATGGTGCTTATAACAAGAGACGCTATGAGGATTCCTACAACTCCAGCAAGCAGAGAGAAAAGGAAAACATTCAGAAAAACAAAGCTGACCTGAGTCGCTTAAGAGGAGAGACTGGTCACAACTCTAGAAGTAATCAGGTTCTGTCTTCGAAAGAACCAGCTACGGACCGGCTTTATGTGCCCCCTCGGATAACCTCCACGCACAATGCTACTATTGAGGCTGATACAAGAGATCAATACATTTCGGCTTCTCCTGAACACCTAAGGGAAAGACCACAAAAAGTTCATCTAAGGAACCAAAACTGAAAGGGAAAGTATCAGACCTGTAAGACTCTTCTGATGCTGGAAGCTCGACTAAGAAGAGCCTAAAGTTTGATGATGGAAACATTCCATCTGCACGAGATGCCACTTTCTCAGTTTTCCCGATTCCTGAAAACCAACCATTAAAAGTTGGTATGATCAAACGATAGAAGAAGAAGAATCAATGGCTCAGAATACTCGATGCCGTACAGATTAAATTTGGAAAGGTCAAATCACGGCGGTGAATGATCCTGAGGCTGAGAAAATCTTGGAAGATGAGGATTGTGTGTAAGACAAAGAAAAAAAAGGAAAGATGAAGAGGAATTCAATGAAGAGGAATTCAATGAGGAGGATCTGATGGATGAGGATGATCTATTGCTAGAGGAGGAAAATGAGGCTCTTGAAGAGGATGTTCTTGCATCGGGATTCCTGAATTCGAAGACAGTGAAGAGCTCTGAAACTCCTAGCTGGTGGAAAGGGAGCCCAGAGATTGCGACTGCAAAAGGCAAAACAAATCAGCAAAGGTGGGAACTAATAAGACACCAAAAATTCCAAGATGAATACAATCGCGTGGAATTGTCAAGGGGTGGGAGATGGCTTGACGAAAGAACATCTCAATGAATTGTACTATTATTTTGTACCTAAGTTTTTATTTCTTTCGGAGACCAAAAATAATAGGAATTTTTTGCAAGATGTGCAAGTTTCTTTTGGATATGACCATGTTTGTACCGTGGACCCGGTTGGTCGAAGCGGAGGTCTAGCTTTGTTTTATATGGATGATCCCTCGGTTTGTAATTTATATGCAGACGAACATATGATCGATATTGAAACTAGGCTTGAAGGACATGCGATTTTTATGACTTTTGTATATGGTGATCCGGATATTAGATATTGAGACTTGGTGTGGGAACATTTATCATGCATCGGTACTACCCGAAGCGAAGCATGGTATATGATTGGTGATTTCAATGAGCTCACAGGAAACCATGAGAAGAGGGGAGGAAGACGTCTCCCAGAAAGCTCTTTCCTTCCCTTCCGAATCATGCTGGAAAACTGTGGGATGCTTGAGTTTCCATATAAAGGAAACTCTTTCTCATGGGTGGAAAATATAAAAAATGGAAAAGTTAAATGTAAACTGGATAGAGCTGTGGCAAATAAGGAATGGCACGCCCTTTTTCCCATAGTGTCGTGGAATACCTACAACTATGGGGGTCGGATCATCGCCCAATCCTCACGAGAATACAATCTATCATCCGAAACACTAAGAAGAACTTCAGATTCGATAAGCGGTTGATAGGGAAACCCGGTTTCAAAGAAGCGGTAATCTCGAGATGGGGACAATTTGATGAAGTTCCAATCCAGAATTTTCATCAAAAAGTTACCTCATGTTGAAA